GTTAAGGGAGAAGCCACTGCCCGAGCATTTACACACCATTCAAGGGGTTGCACACTACCTGAGACTTGAACTTCCAGGAACAAATTTAAACGCAACTCAGACACAAAACAGTGACCCTTCTTACATTTAAATCCAGTTTTTCTATAACAGTGAGAAGATCCCCTCCAGTGCCAGGTTGTCAGGACAGTTTTCTGTTCCCTCAGTCTCATTCGCTAAGTCACATCTCAGTATTTCCTGCTTTGAAGAGTGCAGCTGTGTTATTCCCTTTCTCTGCAACAGCCTTTCACGTAGCTGGAGACACTCAGCCTGCCATCTCGCTTCCTACATGGAATTTTCATCTCAAGGATGCAATTCCATGCACCATGTTCTGAAGGAGATGCCTGCACTTGATCCGATATATGTCTCCATGTTCATTTGATGGTGTAGGCCTTATCTGCAGGACCAGATCTAGTTGTCCAAACTTGTTCCTGCAGCAAAGGATTTCCCTGACAATTTTAACTTAGTTACCCGTGCTCTGTACCAACTACTTTTTCAGGGATGATGGCTTTGTTTCACTACTAGTAGCATCTGAAGGACCAACACAGGCATGCAAACTCCCACAGAAACCTCCAGGTCTTTGCAGGTGGATCTCAGTACTTAGGAGCACATGACAAATGGGACAAGTGCAGAAGAATTCATTCTTTATGGCTTCCCAGGCATGTGCATTTCTGGCTGTCCCTAGTGGTGGTATTTGCACTGACGTACTCCCTGACATCAATAGGCAATGCATCTGTCATATCTGTGGCTGTTCCACGGGATGCTGCTCTGGCTCAAGAGAAAATCCGGCAATGTCTGCTATCTCTACCTGTAGCCATTATTCCTAGCATAAGGCAGTCAACAAAATCTACACTCCCCTTACTTCCTTCTATCCAGGATCTGAATGTACTTATAAATCTCTAACTAAAATTATCCAAACCACTGTTCTTCATGTTAGATGTGTCAGGGCATTTCCACATCTGAAACCCCACACTGGTTTTTAACTGTCCATCATTCCGTCCATTTTGGGCTTTGTTGTGGAAACACTTTAATGTGATTGGTAAAGTCAGCAAAATGCAGAGCTGTGAAAGGCTGGCTGGGGAGCAAGGCTCTCTTTCCGTTCTCTGGGAGGACATTAGCACTTCCAAAGGGCACTTGCTTGCCCCCTTGCTATGATTTTCATTTCAGAGGAGATGAATCACACTCTCAAAGCTCTTCTTGGTGCACACTGACGCTGAAGGGAGTCCATGTGAGCTCTGCACAAAGTGGAGGCATCAACATGGCAGATACACCTGCATGAAGAGTGTGGGATTGATCTCCCCTAAGGGTAGAACTCTCCAAGTGAGATGGCTGAGTCCAGACTGAATGTCTCCTCCTCCCTTCTGGAAGCAGTGGTGATTCTGGAGGCGATTCTCCTGTGTCCACCTGTGCTGTGCACACAATTCATAGACCTGCAACCAGGCACCTGTGTCCAAGGACAGGCTGATGCCCATCGTTGTCAGCTGTGCTCTCTTTCTCAGTGCCATTTGGGAAAATCCATGGGAACACCCCACTGAGGCTGGAAAAAGAGCCTGAGGCTGCATCCATCCTCAGGTAGCCATCACTGCTTGTCATTCCATGCTTTTGAGGGAAACTTGTGTCTGTAGTGTGTTGAAGCCCTCTGCAGCCCTGGGCAGAAACCAATAGCAGGACCTGAAATGTCCAAGGGACCCTAGACACAGCACAGTGCAGGACACTGAGGGATGCCATCAATTCCCCATCAACACTGCCTAGAGTCCTCTGAGATAAAATAGGGGCATGCAAAGCCTCCATCAGGGCTGGCAGAGAACACCCACATCACTTGGGAGAGACAGGCCATCCTGGAACCCCAGCAGGACAACAGCCAAGTACCCTAGGCTTTCTCATGTGAAGTGGGTGATGCTTTGTGAGCAATAGACTCCAATTCACAGAGTGGGATCCAGCTGGAAAGCCAGCACCCTCCAGCTGAGCTTCCACATGCAGTGCTGGGGTGGGATTGCCTGAGAATAGTTCCCCAGAACCATTCCTGTTGCCTGTGGGATCAAAGGAGATCACTGAGATGTGGTTACCAGCTGCTGGACAGAGAAACCAGCATGGAGTCAGGGACATAGGGTTTGCTCCCAGGTGAGCACTGGTGATTTCCCTGAGAAGCAGAAGAGACATGAGAAAGCGTGTGACTACTCTCCGGCAGTGGATGAGTGCGGGAATGACTTGAACAGAGAATCTTGTCCAGTATCTGGCTGATGGGTCTTTTTCACTTGCTGATGTGAAGGTGCAGGGCAAGGAAAGGGTCTTCCCTTCTTGGCCTACTATGGTCATATGGCAAAACAATAATAGCAGTTCTGACTCCAAGCTTCGTGCCCCAGCTGTGGCCACCAGTGGAGGCACAGGGAAAGGGAAGAAGACAAGCTGACAGGTTACTTGCCCTTAGGTATTCACCTCAGAGTACCAATGTTCTAAGCAGAGGGCATTTACAAGCCTGCGCTGGCTTGTTTATGGTGTAGCCTCCAATGGGTCTGTCCCAAGGCAGGTTTCTGGGACGCTTGTCGTTGTCAGAGACCCTGGATTTAGATGCAGCTGTGAAAGTCACACTGCATGTGCTTCAGAGCAGCACAGGCTGGGGAGCTATGTGTGAGCAGTGGCAAGGAGGGAACCCTCGTCAGAGCACCCCACCATGTTTCTGTGCACTGCTGTAAGCTGTGAGCACCAGTGTCCATCTAGCACTTCATCAGCTTGCTCACTGTCCCTACTTTTCATCTCACTTTTCCAAACCGCTGAAAGGCTGAGCTGTTTCTCCATGCATACTTCTTTCTGCAGGATCTCACCACTCTTCACACACCCACACCCATACCCAAGACCATACTGCTTTGCGGCAATACTCATTGGTCTTTCAGTCCATTCACTCTCTCCATGTCTGACTGAGTTACTGTTGGCTGCTGGTCTCTCCTTCAGCAGCAGCAGACGTGAGCTGCTCCTCTCTCACCTCTGACAATATCTTC